AATAATCATTCAGAGGCCGGGGTCCTCTACATTACTTCCCGGGACCAAGTCCCACTTGCAGCAGTTTAGTCCTCAGTTCGGGACCCTGTGTTTTGTGCGACACGTTTCCTGACCGCTGATTGACATTGATCGTAGGGTGCATGGTCGGTTATGTTGTTCTTCGAACTGAATGGATTGAATGTTGCTATGAAGCGGTTTCAAATTGGCTGTTATAGTCAGAATGAGCTCTTTCACTCGCAGGGAACGGTCCTCGTCCGTAGCCTTACCCCAGTCGGGCTAGACGTGGGGACCGTCCATCGTCTTGTATTTCCACAGAAACTAAAAGTTTTTCCCGACAATGTCGTTGCCATACCCTTGGTTACCAGACTGACCGGCCTTTCATCATTACTGTCATTCACCACGTTCAAATCCTGTTATTTTTCGCGATTTAACCCACCGTTTGTCAACCAGCCGCACATTGCCACACGAAGTCACACAGTGTCGTGCAGTACTGGCTACGGGAACTAAACCGCTGCAAGTGGGACTTGGTCCCCGGATCACTTCAACATTTTGCCAGTAGGAGGCAGGGGGGGGCCGCGCCACGAAACAGCGCTAAGGTGCGCTAATTCTGCGTTAACGCGGCGATTAGCGCAAGCGCACGTAACTCCATGGCAATATCGAGGCGCAATCGGAACGCGCACTCTTTCGCTGTTTTTTTTTTCGTGACGTGTGGTGAACGTCGCGGGCTGTACGATGCTCTCGTTTTGGCGGCGTCAACATTCTTCCGCGTGGTATGAATGGTACTACGTCTCCCCTAGGGAAGACCTAGGGGCAGGAAGAAGCTGTCTCCCTTCCGAACCTCCGATCTCTTAATTTTGAAGGCGCCGAACTGAAGACACAAGGTAATGAGTCGTATATTGACGTGATCTGCGGTCTGTGAGCTAAGGGATTTGACACTTTGAGATGCAAAGGCCTCGGCTCAGGTGCTGATGATATTTTTGGAGTGTCCTTCTGAACGTCCTTCAATTCGTATGCGCAGTTTATTAAACCACGTTTACTTTATTTAATGCTAGATGATATAAGGAAATAGCATTAGAGTAGGAATTTTCATCTTTGCTGTATCGATTGTTTTATTTAGAAGTGAGGTTTCCTTCTTTGGATTAGCTTGCGCTCCTTGCTTATTATTTAAGATTGTGCTAAGTGTCATAGGCTTTGGGTAAGAAGGTGGAAAATGGAGGGTAATGCGGACGACTCGGGTCCCCCCCCCCCCCCACTAACCCACCGCCTCCAGATCCACCCTCCCCTCCCCTCTCGGAAGCCGAACAGCACAGAATAAGATCGATCCTTACGTCATGTTATGCCGATGGGTTGTTACCCAAACACCTGGCCCCGGCTTCGAACCCTAACAGGGTAGAGGTGGGAGCGGACTATGTCAAAGTGACGATAGACCCCAAAGTCCTCAGGATACAGGTGGAATGGCTAAAAGCCCATGCGGTCACAATCCTGTTCGGAGACGAAACTACCTCGCTCCCCGTGGATGTTAAAAAACGATTGGTGAGGCTGTATGAAGATGGTTGGGCGAACAGTAGACCAATAGATGTCCCCCCGAGGAGAGGGCTATTCCACAACGAATGCCGAAACCTTGTCACCTATGTTGCTACATCAACCCATGTTGCTTCGTTTATGATGCGAAAAGGGAAGGATAGGATAAGATTGGATAACAAAACATACGAACTTACCTTCCAACCCTGGATGAACGACAACCAACTGCACGAGTGGAGAGAAGCAATGCGTTTCCAGTTTTTTTGGATCAGATGCTTGCAAGTCCTTGTTTCTGCCCTCCCTGTCCTGGAGGGAGCGGTAGAAGCTGCCTTTGGGTCTATCCTCAAATCCTACTCTGCGTACAAAGAACCGACCTCGCCCGAACTGCTAAATATCAGATTTGATCTCACAACGTCGGCGAGAATTCGATACAAACCGTATTTAACGATAGACCTCTCGGAGTTCGGCTATGTCGACATAGAGGTTGTATGCGCAGATACTCCTTGGTGTCCGGACTGCCGGAGATTCTTCCACTCAGCAGGGGATCCTGACTGCCCGACGAACAAAAGGAAGAAAACATATCCACAGAAGTCAAAGGGCAAGGCCCCTGTGGAGGAGGAATCTGAGAAAGAAAAGGATAAAGGCAATGGACGCAGGAAACAGAAAGAGAAGACGTCCAAACAGAAGGTTGACCAGACCTTCCAACCCCAAAACAAGAGTGGGGGGGGTCGGGACGATCACAAGACACAGAATAAAGAGAATCTGAGTGAATCCTCCAAGGGTTGGCAGATGGTGGTTTGGCGGGGCAGAAAGAAGATGACCTATATGCCCAAGGGGGATGCAAACCTCGCTGGGGACGAGGCAACGAAAGCGGTTGACAAACCAGGCGACAAAGCTGGAGAGTCAGAGGAAGGGCAAGCCGACAAAACGGCTAAGGAAAAGGACTGGGAGGAGGAAGGAGGAAAAGAGGATATAAGACAAAAGCCTCAGACAGAGGCCGAAGAGGAAGGAGATGGGAAGAAGATTGATGACTCGGAACAGATGGATGAGGATGGGGAAAACGAAGAGGATGCCTTGATCCGTAAAAAAAAGGGGGATAACAAGGCAGAAGCTACGGACAGGGATCTGAGGGATATGGATTCTATGAGAAAAGCAAATCCATTCTGGAAACCTGTGCCTGACTCTAGCTCAGACAAGGGTCAGACAGAAAAACCTCTCGTTGAAAACCTGGGCGAGGACGAAGTAAGTACGAAAAACGAGAGAATCTTCATCATTGATGATGAAGACATATTGGGGGAAGGAAACGAAGCCGAAGAGAAGATGAAGGGTCACCGGGTTGTGCCTGAAGGGGAGGATGAAGAAGTTGAGGAGGAAGAGGAAGAAAGAGGGACAGGAGAGAAGAGTGAGGCAGAAAGTGGCGAGGAATCGGACAGAGACCTGCTGGGATTCATGGGAAAAGAATTGGAGGGAGACCCCCAAGGACAGACGAAGTCATCAGCAGAAAAGACGGACGTACCCGACTTGAGAAGTGGCCCCTCCACCCCGGTGGGCGAAAAGACCGCAGGATTGGGGTCCTTTAAAATATACGATAATTTATTTTTTCGTCCGGTCCCGTCAGTCTCTGAGCCCCAACATCTACAGCACCCAGAAGGGATTTCCCCCTCCATCCTTGGCGGCTCTGGTACGCTGCAGAGAGGAGGAAGGAGGTGGAATGATACCCTAAAGGGAGATTCGCCCTCCAAAAGAAAGAAAGTACTTGAGGGAAGGGGGGTTGGCTCATATAGTGCGGGCCACAGGGTGTCGACGACCGCCATCCTGCCCTTGGACTTAACGAAAACCCGCAAAAGATCTTTCCTACATCAGACAGGAGGCAAACAGCTATCTTTTGCGGGACCAATGAAAACTCTGACAAAGAGGGACAAAGTGAAAGGGCCGGCCAAGAGCTACCTGGCCCCGCTCATTTGCTCTGAAACACCGCTGGGCACTATGGTGCTGACCAGAATACTGACCAATGAAGCTTTGGAGATCCCGGTGATCCAGGTCAACTCCCCCCCGACTGAGGGGGAGGTGCTGGACCTGACAAAACGCCATGTGCTTAATCACACCAGATCAGTCTCCATCTTACCAACAATGAAGGTAAGTCGTTATCTATCACTAAAAGACAAAGCCCCACCGATAATATTTTATTTTGTATTTATGGGGATTAAAACGATTAACGACTCCTTTGCGAAATGGAGTGAATTGAGGGTACATTGGTTCCCACTACAGGATTTCCTTGCCGATCGGTCGGAGGGGATTACCTCCCTGCATCTTTCGCCGGCACGCACAGGACAGGTCGTGGCGGACTGGATCAAACACATTGGCATGTCCACACGGCTATCAAGTGAGCAAGTCTCTCAGATGCTGCTTGCAGCGCGAAACCTGAGAGTCGGTCTGAACCTCAACAAAGACCAAAGCTAGGGAAACCCAGACCCAGAAAGCCAAATCCAACTGGTAGGCGAGAAGAACCCTGATGGTCCTTCCGCCTAAAATCCGGGCAGCCTCATGGAATATTCGCGGTCTGGGGGAAACCTCCAACAGGAATAAGAGGGCACGTCTATGGGCGTGGGTCCACAAATCCAATGTTCAAATACTGGGTCTCCAAGAGACCAAGCTGGATAATGGAAAATTAGCTGGGGTCGTCGCACTATGGGACGGGCCCCAAATATGGTCCCCATCCGAAGGGTCCAAGGGAGGAGTCGCAGTTCTTATCCAGAAGGACCTGGATGTCACAATCTTGGATTCTTACGTTGATGGGGGGGGAAGAATGTCATGGATAAAATTTCAGCTGGGAACTGAGGAATGGGCGGTAATGTCGGTATATGCTCCTGTTGAATATAACTTAAGAATAAATTTCTTAGCTAACCTCCCGGCGTTTATCCCCGATACGAAAAATCTGATCATACTTGGGGATTGGAACACGGTACTAGTTCCGGGTCTGGATTCCCTTTCTAACAGGCCTGCCAGGACTGATTCTGACATACTGAGAGCTTTCATGGATTCTCAGTCCCTGACTGATGTCTACAGGACCCTTAATCCGGAATCCAATGGATTCACCTGGTATGGTCCACGGCCTTCCAAGTCCAAGGAAGCCCCTTGTTGCCGACTAGATGCAATATTGGCCCGAGGGGCTCCATGGGACAGGTGCTGTTGGTCTGACTTGGACGACATCCATCTGTCGGACCACTACCCAGTCCTGATGGACGTGGTGGCCCTGGATGTAATAGAAAGGGAGAGACCCCCTTTCAGGCTCAACGTAAATATACTTAAAGATGAGGGGATTAAGGAGTGGATTACAAACCAGATGAAATGTTGGGAAAAAGCCAAGGATTTATTCCCCGACGTTCACTCCTGGACTGAAGGGGGCATTAACATAGTGCGGGCAGCACTAATTAACTTCTCAAGAATGAAAGCAGCAAATCACAACTGGAAAGAGCAAAAACTCCAGAGTATAATTACAGAAGCAGAAACCAAAATGGGTGGCGACCCCTTTATGGAGTGTTTCTGGTCAGAAAAAAGACGGATTGCAATCTTAGACCTGGAGAAACTAGAAGGAGCAAAGCAAGATGAGTGGTTGGAATGGCTGAGGCTTAGAGGGATCGTGGGGTATGATCGTATGACCAAACTCTCCTTTCGCTCACTAGTCCTCAAACATTCCAAATCCCTCATTCGGGAACTCTCGCATCCGTTTAGCAATAATCCTAACACTTCCTCAGAGCTACACATCATGTGCTCACATGCCTTCGACTACTTTAGCGACATAGTGACGACAAGGAGACCCTTTGACCCCCCGGAACTAGACCTATCTAACTATTGCACATTCTGGAATAAATCGAAGACCAGACTCTCAATGAGGATGAAACAAGCCCATGAAGAACCTTTTTCTGAAGGAGAGCTAGCCAAAGCAGCAAGACAAATGGCCAAAGGAAAGTGCCCGGGTCTTGATGGCCTCCCGGTTGAACTTTATGTCGTACAATGAAGTAAGAAACGTGGGAACCCTTCCCAAAAGCTTCTCAAAAGGAGTTATATCTCTGATATACAAAAAAGGAAGCAAGGCAGAAGTCTGCAACTATAGACCAATTTCAGTACTCAACGTGGTCTACAAAATTCTGGCCCCATGGCTATTCGGTTGGCAGAATTTCTCCCAGAAATAGTCGGGCCGGAACAGGGGGCTTTTGTGAAGGGCCGCAATATCTTCGACAACATCTTGGCCGCATTACAGGCCATTGAAATAATTGCTGCTGAGAAAAGAAATATCGTTGTCCTTCTCTTGGATATGGAGAAGGCTTATGATAAGATTGGTTGGTCTTTCATGTTCACCACGCTTAAAGTAATGAGATTTGGTCCGATATTCCAAAAGTATGTCAAAGCGTTGTATGTTGGAGCGTCATCAGTAGTCTCAGTAAACGGTAAACTATCAAAAGAGTTCTTTCTGAAACGCTCCCTACGCCAGGGATGTCCCCTGGCGCCACTGCTTTTTGTCCTCTACAACTGGAGATTCTCTTAGATAATATCAGACATAACCCGGATATCAAAGGGCTTGAGCTCCCTCGATCGATTACTTGGAAGGGGGGGGCAATTGCTGATGACCTCACAATAGCATGTGAGAACTCGGTGGATTCCTTCACCCACCCTAGGAGAATCCTGGACGAGGACTGTCAGCTTTCTGAAGCAGCTATTAATTGGGATAAATCGTCATTTTTATTACCTACTCCATATAGAATAAGTGTAGTCTGGGGTCTACAAGAGATTAAACTAGAGGATTCTGAGCGACTTTTAGGCATTCAAGTTTCGCTATCAAACTGCGCATCCAAACAGGATAAAATCCTGCAGGATAAGGTCTGTGCTAGGATAAATGGATGGGTCAGAAACCATAAACTGTCAATTTTTGGTAGGGCTTTGGTCATCTCCTCAGCAGCACTTTCAATTCTCTGGTTCCCTCTGGCGGTGCATGCACTAGGGGACAAAGCCTACGCAGCAATAAAACAGGCGGCTGCACGCTACCTGTGGAAACCCTTGGCGTCGGAACATCAAGGATTTATAGTCAAAGCAGCTTGGAATCTGATCTGCCTTCCCAGAAAGGAAGGGGGACTGGGAATGTTAGACCCAAGAGACCAAAACTCTGCTCTCCTATGCAAATGGATGATTAAAGCTTGTCTTGATACAGAGCAGAAACAGTGGAAGAGCTTGGGAGAATATATCCAGAGAAAAGAATTCGATCTCGCAGACCAAGCCAACGTCTGGCAAAGCCTAGTGCTGTCTAATCTGTCAGCCAGAAAAGTGAAATCTAGGGTCTGGGCGGGGATTCTGTCTGCCTGGAATAAGCTGAGACCGAAGCCCTTACGGGACCCAGCTACGAAACTGGAGGTGCTGAAACAGTGCTTATTTGACAATACACTAATCAAACTACCTTCCGGAGCTCCGGTGTCGACGGGCTCAAAGACAGGAGATTTTGGGAAGGCTTGGTTAACCAAGGGGATAGTCCTGATTGAACACATTTGGGACATAACAACCCAGGATTGGATCTCACCAACCAAACTCAGACAGAGATTGCCTAGACTACATAACGTGGACAATAACTACAGCACACTGCTACAAGCCATTCCGGCCTACTTGCCCTCCATCATCCTGGATACGGCAGAGTACGGTATGGGGACTTGGCTGAAACATCCGTCAGATCCCCACAGAGTAGTCAGGATTCTGGGCCCCGACCTGGATAAAGGTTTGAATGCGGAACAGTGGACGATTGGTAGGAAAGCCAAGCTAGGCTGGACTATCACCAAAGAAACCGAAACTACTCTGACATCGTCTGTGGATCTTGTGGAGGTCAGAGTATTTCATACACCCCCAACCACCAAGAAGGAGGCAGTGTTATTAAAAGGACTGGCTCAAGACTACGTGGTCGACCCAGTACTGTATGGATGGAAAGAAAATGGAGACATCTGCCACCCTCTGATTTCATACTCCTCCAAGGTAGGATCTTCCTATCTTAGGATGAAAAAGGAACAACCACAAACTGTGGCGAGTCGCAGATTTAGAAGAACCTACGGGGAAGACCAGATAATGCCAGATTTTCGAAAGACGTGGAAGGCCCTGAAGTACATCCCATCTCAAAGACAGGCGAGTATGATGTGGATGCAATCTTTGGGGCTCACTGCGTCGGCTCAATGGTTGAAGGTTAGAGGACTGGACCTAAATACAACATGCAAAAGATGCCACAATATCGAGGAATCTGCTACCCATATCTGGCTCGCCTGCCCGCTCGCTGGGGAAATATGGAGCTGGTGGAAGATCCAATGGGAAGATGCAGTTGGGGTAAGGTGGAAATGGACAGACGAATCGATACTAGCTGCCTCACCGCCAGAGGGGAAACAGCTGAACGATGACTGGGGATATGTGGCACTAGTGTGTCGAGGTATAGTCATGGAGGTTCTATGGAGAGCAAGAAATGCTATGATTTTCAGAAACCAAAACACCCATTTCCACCAGCAGAGAGCTTCGGTGAAGCAGACACTGAGACTTACTATCTTGGCGGACTGGCGAAGGAGTGCAGCCAGGGGGGGAAGAGGAAAAGGGTGGTTTCGGAAAACATGGACTAAGGACAACTTCCTGGCCTCAGTAACAGATGAAGGAAAAGTTGAGATAGCCAAGTGGCTGTCTTAGAAGAGACACCCCAAGGCACCTGAGCTTACTATCTGGACAAGGACTCAGGATGGACCTAAGAAAGAGCAGCGATCTACAGTCATAGCTCTTACCATGGATATAGGGCTCCTGGCCCGTTTTTATTTTACATTTCAGATCGCGTTTAGATCTGTCACCAGAACGAATTGCTTTTGGTAGAAACAAATCAGACCTGCACCAAGATCGCTCAGGGGATCATGGAGCTGGTCACTAAAGGCTATATTGGTTGAGTAAGAGGATAGGATGAGCTAGCCTGTAACTGGTAGCTCAATCTGCCTGTCTCGTGCTTCAAGGTTGTTTTGGAAAGTTAGATGGTATTAAGGATATGATGAGCTAGCCTGTAGCTGGTAGCTCACCCTTTTTCTTGTGCTTCAAGCTGCAAGTTGAATTCTGAATGGGACGCTGGACCCGGTTTCCAGTTGGATTTATGTAGAATATTTGGTTAAGGTCTGGCTTGACAGCCGCGAGGGGAACTTGTAAGCGAAACTGGCTGAGGCGGCCAGGATAACTCCGGGTTGAATTGTGAGGTCCCCGGCCTCGTTCCATGGCTTTTGCAATATATGATACAACTTTCCGAAAAAAAAAAAAAAAAAAAAAAAAAAAAAAACATTTTGCCAGTAGGTGTGTCTGAAGCATCGATTACCGGCCCTTCGTAATCGATCAGAAAGGGCCTTTCTCTACTGAAACGACTTTCTTAACGTATGTGGACGTCGGAATGGTCCCGATGCATCCAAAACGTTGGATCAGTTTGATCGCATGTGGTCTAACTGAAGTCCAGATGCATTCTACATGTCGAGTAGTGGAGCCAACGCCATGGATCAACTCGCAGAATTACAGTATTTGGGGCAAGCGGAAAAACTTCCCGTGAAAAAAAAAAAAAAAAAAAAAAAAAAAAATTTTTTTTTTTTTTTTTTTTTTTTTTAAAGGCTAATTCTTTAAGCCCAACCAATTCAATTACCTGTCAAATCTGGACAGGACGGCCTTTCAGGCCTTTTTTATTGTCATTATAGTATTACGGGGAACCCCGTAGCAGCCACATCCGTGCTCAAGCCTCCAACGAGAGAACATGCGGGAGCTGCACCCACCAGCAGGTGCGACACCTGCTACAGCAGGTGGGCGATACCGGCCAGGGGTCAGCCGGTAGCATCAGGACCGAGCTTCTTCGATGGGCCAGTCACTGTGCCTCCCCTCCGGTCCCCTCCCCCTATGAACATCAGCATTCTCTGCTCAATGCCACTCGGGGGGACCAACGGCATATCTCTAGGTGGCGGGCGCCAAGCTTGCCCAGGAAGGAGCATGAGGCCAATGGGGATTGAACCCAAGACCTCCTGAATGCCACTTGCGTGCCTTACTAACTGAGCTAGGCCGCTGGATAAAAAAAAAAAAAAAAAAAAACCGTTCCCGTGTCCTTCGGGACATCCGTTAAAATTGGAACGATACAGAGAATGAAGATCAGCATGGCCCCTACGCAAGGATGACACGAATAAATCGAGAAATGGTCCAAATTTTTGAAAAAAAAAACTTCCCCTTCGACGTGGTTGGGTGCCATTCTGGCCGCCTAGCATCATTCCGTGCGGAGGTTGCGGTTCTTCTTCCTCCGCCGGTGGTCATCAGCAGGTATGTTCCTCTCCTCTCCTCTCCTCTCCTCGGCCTCCTCCTTACCTTCTCTGCTCTCTCCTCCACTTTTCTCGCGCATTCCTCGTCCTCCTTTTCTCTCTCCCTCTTTCTGCCTTCTTCACTTTTCCTCACCTCTCTCTCTCTCTCTCTCTGGCATACTCACACTAGCACTTGTTTACTTATTTCTGGACGGAATTGCAGCCACATGCATACATGTCCGGTCTTGAATGCGGGCAGACACATTTACGATAGTGCTGGTAGTGTGTGAATACGCCCTTAGGTTCACGTCTTCTCCTGGTTCTCTCGGTTTCCTCCTCGTCGGTCGGCCTTCTCTTCTTTCTTTCCTTTTGTAAGGCTCTACGTGTGACCCTTCTTCAGGATTCGTTTTATTTTTGACTGGCTATCTACCTACCTACCTACCTACCTACCACTATTCCTAAGCCTATACAGGATGACCCCTGCAAGCGTAGCTATTTCTCACAATCAAGCGGATGCATGCTGCCCCCCMCCCCCCCCGCCCCTAATCGGCGGGGATCAGGATCAGGGAGGACGGTGGGACCGCCGGTGGGGTAGGTAGTAAAAGCCGAAATTTAGGGCCAGATCCCACTAGCCCCTATTGTTCATTTTTGACCCTCGATTACGAAGATCAACGATCAGAAATGAACAATAGGGGCTAGTGGGATCTGGTGTCGACGGGTTGTAAAACTATTTCTATCAGTTTGGAAGGCTAATCCGCGTGTGCCACCAGGTCCAACGGAGCGAGATTGGGTGGAGTCGATATCCACCGTCGGATCGCCGATGTATATAAGGATTCTAGTGTGCCATCTTCAGAATCATTTTGGATCAGAGGGTCATGCGCTCGAATCCTGCCACCTGGAGTCAAAAATGGAGGTGGTAAATAGAGGTGCGAGGTGGTGCTGGTGGTGAACAGAGAGAGGGTCATGGGGGTCGAATCCTGACCGTTGATTACATTGAGCGTTGCAATCAACATGGTCTATTGCTGGAATATTGAGCGTTCAGCGTTTTTTATATTACTATATCTTCCTTTTTCAGCGTGTTCAACATTTGCATACACACTTTACTTTAAACGTTGAGCGTTCACTTTTCTATCCTCTTTCTTTTTCCTCCTACTCTCTTGCGTCTGCCTTCCCCCCCCCCCACCCGGTCTGGCTCTTTGTGTGTGTGCGTTTATGCGTTTGTGCGTCCATGTGATAGTGTGTGTACGCGCGCACGCGCGCGCGATAGATAGATAGATAGATAGATAGATAGATAGAGAGAGAGAGAGAGAGAGAAGTGGGGTCTTCCTCTTCTTATCTTTATCTTGCTTGCAGTTGCCGCTTGTCGGACGCGTCATGTAAGAATGTTCGTATTTCCATGTTTCTAGCCGTTTGCTAATTAACGCGATCGACGTGCTGAACGGATGTGGAACTGACGGCGACGTTGTCACCTGTCGCTGTGCAGATGATGAGTGTTCAGGGACGTGCTCTACTCTCCTTGGCTGAACGCGCGTGCGTTCCGTACGAACGCGGGTGAGTTCCGTACGAACGCGCGTGCGTTCTGTACGCGGACACGTGTCGTAACACTGTCGTTAAAAGCGGGATCAGAACAGCATCATCAATCGGACAAGCATAGCATCTATCATCAGGAGATTGCTCGTCAATCAATCAGCAAGAAGGGTTGGGTTGTAGGAGTCGTAGGGTTTAACAGCCAGCCCCATGGGTGGATTATACTACAGTATAAGGAGCCGTAGGGTTGAACAGCACCAAAGGTGCATTTTACATTTTACATTGTCGGAATCTCAGGCAGGTTTCGCCCCCTCCTGGTGCACTGGAGGAGACCTTTCATCCCCAGCCTACCACCGGTAGGCGCATTGGCGATGGAATCGATGACGTGGCCGCGCTTCTCGTTTAGGTATTGGACGATGGGAAGACGGCGAGGACATTGCCTGAACAAGAAATTACAACGGATTGAACGGAATGCACTGCTTGGCGTGTAGAGCTTATTCACGTTAGGACTCGACCGTTTCGGCCGAATCTGGCTGTAATTGCTGCGAGATTCATTCATGAAACCCGTGCTGTGACCATGCCCTTAAACCCTCCGGCCCCGACCCAACCCACT